AGGGTTGGCTAGCTTCAGACTGGCTTATCTTTAATCCTTTTCAGCACACTTTAAAGTCTTGTTCTTTTGGTCCAGTTACCGCTTTAGAGAGGGAAGCAGCATCTCAAGCTGGCACGATGAGCCTAAAGACCTGTAAGATTCCTTCAGCTCTGTGATTTCCACTTCACAAAGGTTTCTGGGGTCCCCTGGCTATTTCTAATTATGTTAGTAAAAGTTTTCTAGAAAAGGGGCTTGTATGCACTAAATAAAAAAGGAGTGTTGGGGAGGTGAAGTCCCACTCTACTCTAGAAACCCACAAGGGGCCTTTGGGAAGTGGAAGCTCTCACTTTTAAATCCCTCTAAAACTGCAAGACTGAATTTCTATACCATGAAAAGAAGAAAAAAATACAAAAAGAGTTAGCCTGGACCAGAGTAGGGATCTGGGTGGGAGAAGAGAAGAAAAGGGGGGAGATGAAGTGTATTTAACACTTTAAGGTTATTTGATCAATCAACAAGTAATCGATAGTAATTCATCGAGCAGCCATTGTTTACAGAGGGTAGGAAGGAGAGAAAAAGAGAAATGGACAAGAGAGAAATGAAAGAGAGAAGTATGGAGGGAAGAAAGATAGCAAGCAAGCAAGGAGGAAAAGATAGAAAAGAATAAATTTTTGATTATCTTTTGTGCTATTTATTTGTCACTAACTCAGTGAAGTGGTCATTATTATTTGCTCTAAGAAGATTGGTTAAGAGCTGAGGAGCACTAATTAACAAGAACAATTACAAAGTTCCCATTACATAGAGGTAATAAAACACACCTATGAAAATATAATTAGAACGCTTACAAGGAAGTAGGTATAATGTGGGAAGTGCCTGGTCGGTTCTCCCAGTCTTCTTCTATTATACAGAATAAGCTATGATACACTTCGGTAAGAATGCTAACACCAAATTCAAGTCTGCTGCAAGCCAAGGTGACTCAGTAACTCTCCTCTATGCTTAAGTGTAATGTCACTTCCTCTCATGCATTAACTTTAATGTCATTTCTTCTAAAAGCTCTTTCTTGATTTCTGGATTTTAATTAGCTCTCTCTATCATTCCACTTTATGTCACCCTGTTCTTTTCCTCATGGTACTTTCCACTATTTAAATTGTGCCTTAATTTATGTATTTATTTGTTTTAGGTTTGTCTTTACAGCTTGACTTACACTACAAGAGGATAGAAACCTGTTCACTTCTCTCTCTCCACTGCCGGGATCAAAGGAAGTACTTCATACATGCGAGCACCCTAGGATAAGTTGGTCACTTCCTCTTTAGTGTTTTGAGAAGTTGTTTTTGTAGTTAGTGTTCAATGGTACATTTTTTGTTCTTTTATGGTGTGCATTGCATTTTATTTTATGATCTGTTAACCTAACATATCCCCCACACTTGACTGTGTGTTCAAGGTAGGGATGTGTTTTATTTACCTTTATCTTCTTTGTAATTAGCACGGAGCCAAGCAGATATCCAAATATTTGTTAGTTGTTGAGATAACCAAACTGTAGAATTTAAGGAATTCTACTTAATGATGGTCAGATAATCTAACTGCAGCCTTGTTTTATCTGGCCAAATCAGCCAGTGATGGCTCACACTTAATCTGGATGATCCTGGCAGAAGAGAGGGGATAGAGCCCTGTGAGTTCCAATATTTGGAACATTCAGAAGAAGGGAGTATCACTGAGAGGGCTGACTTTTGACCCATCCTAAGTAAACTGTGTAGCAGTTTGTACGTACAGTCCTAGAATATTCTGGGCTGTAAACTGCAGAGACATCAGATCATGCTACATGTAATTTGCTCTTGTCCTGGTAATTTTTTTTTTTTTTTTTTTACTTTTCTGCTATTGGAAGTGCCCACCCTGGTTTATGATCCAACCAGCTTTGAGAAAAACCAGACGTTAGCTGGTTAGCTATAAAATAATTCACTTATTAGGAGGTTAGCTATAAAATAATTCACTTACATATGGTCTTTAGATATTGAATCTTCATTTAGACAGGCTGTTGCTTAAAACTTCTGACCAAGTTCAGCGTAGGTGCTTTAACAAATATCTATTTCCCTTTCTGAGTAGTATTCTATTTTTTCTCACCATTTGAATGATCAGTTCTAATAGAATTAGAAGAGATGAGAAAAGGCAGAGAAATGAAGTGTGAAGAGAGGACATAAGTCTCACTTCAGTTGTGTAAGCCCTTTGTTCTATATGAGCTGCTATATGAGCAAGCACATGGGAAAACAAGTTGTAGATGCAGCTGTACAGTCTGTGGATGTTGTAGGGGCCCCAGGGTACAAAGAGCCTGTAAATGGAAATGTAAGTTTAGGACCATAGGAGAAGGACCTGTGAAACCTATGATGATTCGAGGGAGTGAAAACTCACATCTAAATGGAAACAGAACAAGTGTCATGAAATTTTCAGGCCAAGAGCCACTGACTAAGGTTACTGAGAAACCATGGGGCTGAGTCAGTCCCTTAGTCAAGGCTGTTTCTGGTCTTAATAAAACTTATAAAGGAGTCCACAAAATGGACAACCAGAAGCCCCTCAGGTATCAGCTGGAATAGGGAGTGGAGGGATGTGGCAGGGTTAATCATAGCATTTCTTTTTTTTTCTTTGTCAGAAAACAGGAACATCTTCCACACTTGTATTTCTTAGTTCTTAGAGGCCTCTTTTTTCAAGATCCTAAAGATTTCAAAATTGCCCAGCAGTGAACAAGTCCTTGATTATATTTTGAGTCCAAATCCAAATCCAACTTTTAATTCTAAAGAAATGCAGTTGGAAAAGGATGATAGGGGCTATTTTGAAGATGAGTCAAAATGGGCTTGCCATTATTGCCTCTGGGAGAAGTCTGAACACATTTCAGAAAGCGTATTTCCAGATCCAAGTTCCAGGGTGGACCCGGTTTACTCCACTTCTTATTTTTTAGCTCTATGTCGCCTAATGGACACTCACACTTTCCTTCTCACTTCTTTCCCTTACACCTCACTTGGCCCTTGCTGCTGAGGACCCTGGTGACTAGATATCAGACAGATGGAGGTAGAAGAATAAGTTTTATCTGGAGGTTAGCTATAAAATAATTCACTTAAATATGGTCTTTAGATATTGAATCTTCATTTAGACAGGCTGTTGCTTAAAACTTCTGACCAAGTTCAGTGTAGGTGCTTTAACAAATATTTGTTGATAGAAGTATGAAGCAAATGGTTACAAAATAAATGAGGTTATCAATTAACTATTGACTGTATGTTTTGAACCATAGACATGAGAGGACTGATGATATAGATCCTAAATGCATTTCATGAATGTATGGTTAAGACTTTTCAACAGTGGTTATGTATCATGTAGCCAAAGATTATTTAGATAAGAAAAACATATTCCTTTACTGATGAAATTTTCCTGCAAAATTTTGTTCGTAACCAACAACGGCTTTGTTGGAGTTGAGTCTGCGTTGCCACTTGCCACCCCTACAGTATGCTATGATACTACAGCTCTGTAAAGAATGAATAGCACATAAAACAATGTAAACAGTCACAAAAGGAAAATGGAGTAGATTTGGTTACATAATAAAGAATATGTAAAGATCATTATGGTTACATTAAATGACTTGGAACAACATTTGCAACACATTTGGATAAGAAATGTTTAATATTCTTAGTGTATATTGTGGTCATAGAACTCAATGAGAAAAACACTACAAGCCTAGAAGATAAACACATAAGCAACATAAATAGGCAGTTTTTAGTAGAGAAAATCATATACCAATTTAACATATTAAGTATGTAATCTTCCAAGTAATGAAAAAACAAAAATGAAAATAACCATGGGATGTTTATCCTAATATCTTAATATAAAATAATTATATTTCTTAATGCTATAATGGCACAGAAAAACAAGCATTCTCATACATTGAATGTGGGGATATTAATGGGTCTGACTTTTTTGCAAAGCAGCGTGGCTAGTTGCATTGGGAGATTTACACTTTTTTGAATAAAAGAAAAGCAAAAAAAAGTTTCCATAATCGTAGAATTAATAATTTTGTTTCTAGTATACATACCAGAGCCGTTAACATAAATGCATAGAGAGTTTTACAAGTAAATCAGTTTATTGCGTCACTTTCTAAGAACAGAAAGCTAGAAAAAACAGGATGTCCTGAGTAAAAAAACGCTAAATATATGATGCATCCACATGTTGGAAATATTTTGAAAACCTTTTAAAAATTAAAAGTTATTTTAATAAAATGACAAACTATTACTAAAAATGACAAAACTATTTTATTAATATAGTTAAACTTACTCTGGTTATTTAATATAGTTACATTTACTATATTAAAAGTGGTTAATAAAAGAACAGTAACAACAAAGACAACAGTGCAAAGCCAAGGTGATAATATGACGAAAGGCAGTATGCTTACTTCTTGGAGGGCGTACAGTAGCTCCCCTTTTTCTGCAGGAGATACGTTCCACAGTTCCCAAGGGACACCTGAAACCGCGGGTGGTATGAAAGCCTGTGTGTGCTATGTTTTTTCCTATGCATATTGTACATGCCTATGATAAAGCTTAATGTACAAATTAGGCACAGTAAGAGATTAGCAACAACTAGTAATAAAAGGAAACAACTATTACAACGTAGTGTAATCATAGTTACGTGAATGCGGTCTTTCTCTCAAACTCTTTATTGCACTGCACTCACCCTTGTTTTCGTGGTGACGTGAGATGACGCAATGTCGACGTGATGAGATGGAGTGAGGTGGATGACATAGGCTTTGTGCATAACGTTAAGATGCTCCGAGAATTACGTGAAAACAGACTCTGTGATACTGCGCTGGTCGGTCCAACAACCTAGGTGGCTAGTACATGACGCGGGAATGCTGGGCAAAGGGTGATCCATATCCGGGCCGGGATGGAGTGGGACAGTGCGAGATTTTTATCATGCCAGGCAGCACAGTGCTTGATTTAAAACTTAAAACACTTTTTTTATTTCTGCAATTTTCTGTTTAATATTTTCAGACCATGGTTTGGCCGTGGGTAATGGAAACCAAGGAACGTGGAATCGTGCATAAGGGGTAGAGGTAAAAGTTATGTTCTTCTTTAATTTTGTTCGCACTCCTCACATTTTCTACCATAGGGTGTAGTATAAATTTTAGGAGGAAAAAGAAGAAGGGAAACAGTTCAAAGAGGTAGGAAAACTTGGGCCGCTTTCTGAAAGCCCTGGCCTCATGGAGCTCCTGACTTCGTATTCTTCAGGGGAAGTGCTTCCCCGGCGGTCTCATCTGGGTGTGCAGACTGCAAACTTGCATCTGCATTAGTCTTTTGAAGTGCTTGCCTCTGAAGCCAGATACCCAAGCCTCTGGATTCAGGAGCCCCTGATAGATTCCTTCCATTGTTGAAATAAAAAACAGCATGTTCCATTTGTGTAGACTTGGAGGTTAAATTTCCAGATTTTCAGAATTGGAATTGTTATTGCCAGTGTTATGGGTTGGGCTATAGGGCAAAGCAAGGGGGGAGATGCAGTCCCATGTGCTGTGGAGTTATTTTGTGATGAAGCCTCTCTATACTAGACTAAGGAGACAGCTCCTCACCAGAAATCCTAAAATTCAGGAATTATAGTCAGGGAAAATAGTCTAAACCCAATGGATTTTAATCTTTTTTTTTCTTTCTTACCTCCAAAACCCTTGTATATTTATTAAGACTGCTGCTTCATAGATTTTTTTTTTCTCACACCATCACCTAAATGGAAGGGATTTCTATTAGGTAGCTTCATTGCCTAATTTATATCCTGTAATATACAGAGGAAAAAAATACACATTATTAGATATTTAGCATGTTTTTTCAGTTTTGTTTGTTTTTTACTCTAAACAAAGGTTTCCTTCAGGGATATTTAAGCCAAGTTTGAAGACGCACCATTGTCCACAATGTTGCTGTATAGAAAATGGGGGAGAAAGGCATAATTTCTTATTCTCAAAAATGACAAAGAGGGCAGATTTTAGTAAAGTTTAACAACAAAATTTGTTTTAGTCTTAACACTAATCATGGGAAAAATCTTTCAAAGTATTTTTTTTGCAAAGCTGTGAGAAATAAAAATGAAGTTGGATTTTTAACCAAGTTTAAAAATAGAGCATGTACTACCAGGGAGGTCTGTCAAGTAACAAAGTAACTGATGGTGTTTGGAGACTCACAACAGTATATAAAGATAGAAAATCACTTGTTCCTCAAAACAGACCAGTGTCTGGTACAAACTGACAGAGAATTATAGTTTATCAACAGTGGAACATCACGTGACTATTAATAACACTGTTATGACAGCATAGTAATATAATAGGGTTGAAGATGTTTAATAGAGAGAGAATGCAAAATAAGAATGTTCTCAGTCTTTTCTTTGGGATTTTAGTTAGCATTAGGGGGTCAATGTGTGTTTGGATAAAAAGAGTTTGAAGCTCTCTGCCTGGGATAACCCATCTTCCTCTGTTCTCCTTCCAAATGGTTTATTGATAATGGCTTTATCTCAAAAGCAGGAGTCAAATGGAAAAGGGCAAAATGATCCCAGGAGAAGAAAATATTCTTGCCAGGAATAATAAAAATAAGTTTAAAAATAACTAAAAGGGATTCAACATTAAAATTTTGCTTTCTAATTGTAGAATGATTTTTGCAGTCTCCAGGTAAATGAGTGTATTTCTTATTTGTAACTTCCCGGGCCCTCCTTGGCTCAGGTACAGCTGCATTCCCAAGCTGTTGGAGGAGAAGAAAGGGATTAGGTCTGGAATGGTGGATTTGCTATGGTCTGCACTGTGGAATTCACTGTGGGTGTGGAGCTCCAACAGCTGACAGGAAAGAGAAAAAATACACATTTGGATGTTGGGTCTATATGAAACCAAACATCAGGCTTTTTGGATACAGCCAGATCTTAGATGTTTGGCAATGTTCAGGCAAAATGTTTTTGTGTTTTCCTCTTACTCTAGGTATTTTAATATTTTGGGATCCTGGCTTTTGAATCCTAAACCAAATGGGTTTATAGGTATTTTAGTGTGAGGAAGCAAGACTATTGATTGGAAAATGTCATCCCAAATACTAAAAACAGAATATCATCAAATCATATGAACTCAAATATTATAGGTAAACTTAAGACCTAAGTGTATATATATATGTGTGTGTATATCTATGTATATATACCTCACATTGATTTATGCTTCTGGAAAACATGGAGTAACAGATTAAATACCCTCTAACTAAACCACCAGACATAGTACATAAAATAAGAGTTTTCAAGACATTGGGCATCAGGTAAAGGATAACAGTGACCTATGAAATGAGTGAAGCCAGACATAGTCTAGGGAGGGGCAACCCAGGTGGCCTCCCTGAGTTGAGAAAATGGGGCCAGGTACCCAGGGAGGTGAAGCTGGGAGAGTTCACAGATCAGAGTAGTGGAGAGGGTACATGTAACTGCACAGAGAAGGACCTCCAGAGGTCTGCAGGCATCTCCCTCACATCTTTAGATGAGTACTGATCAGCACATGCATATAAAGAAACTACCGGAAGTAGGAACCACACTAAAGGATTAGAGGAAACAGTCTCTGGGGCTTGCGTGGGGCTAGAAGGGGTCCAGTTCCAACTGCGCAGTGTGGGAAACTTCATTATTCACTGAGTGTTGGGTAGATTAGTCAAAAGAATTTTGTTACAGTAGTGGGGAAATATTAGCCATATTCTAAGTGCTGTTCTGATCCAGGATATAAAAACTTACAAACAAAACCTGATAATATTAAACCATTTCCATGTAATAAACCCAAACCTCAAAACAAAATATAAGAATGTCAATAAAGGAGGAAGAATATGTCAGTGGAGCAGGTGGAAGTTTCACTCACCTCCTCCCAGGCCTGAGCTGGAATTACAATTGCATCATAGAACCATCAACCTGAATAACCAACTGTGGACCAGCTGGACAGAAGTCTCATAACCAAGGATTTACCAAAGAAGCCACACCAAGACTTCTTGGAAGGGCAGAGACAGGAAGGGTGATGCAGGCTGGCCCTGTACCCATATGTGATGCGTGAAGGCTGAAAATTCAAAGAGATGTTTTAGCTGCAAAGGTCCCCCATTAGGAAGGTGGGGTCTCAACCCCACACAGAGTTTCCTAGCCTCTAGCAACGGAGCTGAAAAGAGGTGCTCACATAATATCTGGCTGTGAAAATTAGCAGGAATCCTGTCCCCAGAGAAAGACTGCAGCCTACTAGTAATCCAGGAGTCCTCTTAAAGGCCCAGCACACAAAATTTTGTTTGCAGAATCTTACAAGGATAGACCCAGTGGTGTGGCTCTGGGAAGAAAGCTGAAGGGATAGCAACTAGAGTCCCTATGCTGAGTCCATTTCCCACACTTCACACAGATGTCATCTTTCCTGCTGGGAGCACTTCCCTCTAAACTGCATTGGACTGGAAAGACTGTGCAAGCCCCACCCTCCTGGCATCTTTGCTGTCCCACTCTGGTGAGCTCACACCTTCTGGAGAAGTCTGCTGCCTACACCTGGGGTATAGACTTTCTTGAAGTGATCTTGAGGAAGAACTTGGGGAAAATCAGAGGCAGAGTTGTGTGGCTCTGGGGCAGAGACCCCTTCCCCTCCTCCACACAGCGCACTCCTGTGGGCCAGAGTGCCTGCGTAGCATACTGACCCCTCACCGTGTCTGGTCCACACTGCAGGAGGGAGTAGCTGCTCCATGTGTCTGCCCAAATCAGCCAGGCCACTGCAAGCCAGGGCAGTTGTGTTAATCCTCATAACTAGCCAGAGGGTTGACCCCACCCACAGATGGGCCAAACGCAAATAATGAAACCAAAACCTGATTCTTTGGAAAGGTAAACAAGATTGACAAACCTTTAACCATACTTATAAAGGAAAAAGAGAGAAGACTCAAATAAATAAAATCAGAACTGAAAGAAGAGAAGTAAAAACTGACACCAAAGAAATAAAAAATAATTGTAAGAAAATATTACAAAATACTATATACCAACAAATTGGATGATCGGGAAAAAACGGATACATTTTTAGAAACAAAATCTTCCAAAACTAAATCAGGAAGAATTAGAAAATATGAACAGACCAATTACAACTCAATGAAATTGAAGGAGTAATAAAAAAATGCCCTGTAAACAAAAGTCCTAAATCAGGTAAGTTCGCAGGTGAATTTTACCAAACATTCAAAGAAGAAGCAACGCCATCCTCTTCAAACTATTCCAAAAAATTCTAGAGGAGGAAAGACTCCCCAGTTAATTTTAAGACCCTAGCATTATATCTTGGATGCAAGGTTGGTACAGATCTGCAAGTCAATTAATATGATATACCACATAAACAAAATGCAGAATAAAAATCTCAATAAATGCAGAAAGGCATTTGATAATATCCAACGCCCATTTATGGCAAAAACCTGTGAGCAAAGTAGAAATAAAGGGAACAAACCACAACATAATAAAGGCCATGTATGACAAACCCACAGCCAACATCATACTTAAAAGGGAAAAATTAAAAGAATTTTTTAAAGACCAGGAGCAAGACAAAGATATTGTCCTTCACCATTCTTATTCAGCATAGAACTGGAAATCCTAGCCATAGCAAACAGACAAGAAGAAGAAATAAAAAGCCTCCAAATTGAAAAGGAAGAAGTAAAACTGTCATTATTTGCAGACAACATGATACTGTACATAGAGAACCCTCAAGACTCCACCATAAAACTACCAGAACTGATCGATGAATTAAATAATGTAGCAGGATACACAATTAATATTCAGAAATCAGTTGCATTTTTATATACCAATAAATAATCTTATTTAAAATTGTGTCAAAAAATAAGAATATGTAAGAATAAATTTAACCAAAGTGATAAAAGACCTATACTTGGTATATTATAAGGAAATTGAAGAACATACACATATGTGGAAGCATATATCATGTTCCTTGCTTGATAGGAAGAATTAACATCATTAGAATATCCATATTTTCCCCAAATCTATACATTCAATGTAAATCCTGTCAAAACAACAATGGTGTATTTCACAGAAATAGAACGAGTTTTTCAAAAATTTGTATGAAACCACAAAATACCCCAAATAGCCTCAGCAATATTGAAAAAGAAGAACAAAGTTGGAGGTATCATACTGCCTGATATCTGACTATACTACAAGGCCATAGTAATCAAAGCAGCCTGGTATGGCATAAAAACAGATATATAGATCAATGGAACAGAACAGATGCCCAGAAATAAACCCATGTCTGTATGGCCATGGCAGGAGGTGGGGCAGGCCCCTCGTCCCCTAGGCATCTGTGCTCTACAACATTCTGCTCCACTCTGGCGAAATGCCCTTGGTGTTTCAACACTGGCCAGGAAAACACAGTCTTCAGACTTCAGTCTTTGGTGCAAAGTGCACTCATTGAGCCAGTGGGGAGCTGGCTTAAATGAACCAAAGTCCTTGATTTGTCCCTCAATACAAATGAGGACTCTAAATCCTCACAGTTTAATTGGTCCAAAGGCACTGTGCTGATTGGTCAGAACAAAGCCACCCTGATTGTTTAAAGCTGTGCAGCTCTGATTGGATGGGGAAAGCCTCTGTCTTGTTGGTTAAAATAGGATTCCAGGAACTCCTGTATAAGTGCTGGCTCAGGTAGCACAAACAGTGTAGGCAGGTAGTCTAGTGCAGAGGCTTCTTCACGAAGTGCATTATGTACGAGAGGCACCTGTGCAGAAATAGCTGCTAGGCCCTGCTTAAATATTTTTCTATTTGAGCCCTTCTTAATGGGTGCCTTTTCTTCCTTTCACAGTTTACACTTGCGTGCTGAAGTGACTATGAAGCGTGTATTAAGATGGAGCTTCCTTGTTACTTTGAGTGACTACAAGGAGCAGAAACCCACTGCCAAGCCATTTAGATATGTAAGCATGAGTGAGAAATAAAATTTTGGTAGGAGCTCCTTTTTTCTTTCTGCTGCATAGAACTCCATTGTGTATATGTACCATAATTTTTTTCCATTCATTTACTCCTACCCTTTGCAACAGCTTGGATGGAATTGGAAAGCATTATGCTGAATGAAATTAGCCAGGCATTGAAAGACAAATACCATATGATCTCACCTTTAACAGGAAGCTAAACAACAAAACAAAACAAGCAAGCAAAATAAAAACAATGGCACTGAAATGGAGAACAGGGGGACAGTAACCAGAGGGGAGAGGGGAGGGAATTTCAGGGAAAAAAGGGGAAGGATTTACAGGAACTAGTATAAAGGACACATGGACAACAACTAAGGGGGGTGGAAATGGGAGGGAGGTGGGGGGCACGGGGGAGGTGGTGGTGGGCTGGGATGGGAGTAAAAGACAATACTGTACTTGAAAAATAATTAAATAAAAAATTTAAAAACCTCATAAAAATGGCACTTCTGTGAGGCTATAAAAGCAATGGTATCAAATCATTAATAAAGAGTTAATTATTATCTAAAAAATAAAATTTTGGTTTGCGTGTTACTGAGATTTTGTGTTTTTTTTTTTGTTATGAAACCATAACCTGGTCTATTCTGAAATATTTGGTAGGGGAAAATTTCCCCCTCAATCTTTGTCTTTATCTAGAGCTATACATGAGAATGTCAAATTATCATTGTACTTATTCTGGGAAGTCTATACAGTCAGGTGTCTAGTTAGCATAGCCCAGCTGTATGGTGAGTTAGCTATAAATATTTTAAATATTTAACTTTACTGGGCTAAATGAAATAGAGGCATTCATCTCCATTTAGGGAGTTACCTGTCAAAAAATGACTGGAAAAGCCACACCCAGAACCACCACACACCCTTCATTGAACTGGTCTTGGCTGGTGCTATTAACAGCGATTCCTCTTATTCTTCGTGGACCAACCCCCAATTCTCCACCTCCTTTTTGGTGAACACATTTAGGTGGAGAACATGAGTGAGTTACTGCCACATCTATCTTGTATGTGCACCAATCCTGTATTTCAATTTCTAATCTTGTATCATGTCTTTATTTTGAAATTGGACTCTCACCGGTCTATCTATTTACATCAATTTCTCCACATTTTACCTCGTTTCTACCAAATCTTGTGTGTACTACTAGGCTCAGGGACTTAACGCAAAATCAGCTTTGCCCTCAAGGGCTGATGTCCTAGTACACGGAGGGCAGTATGTGACATAGGCTGGGCACAGCCATGGCCTCTGTCACAAATCCCTCGAAACATGCCCTCTCTCCTAGCCTTCAGTCTTCTTCAACAGGGCCTCAGACCATTAGCACCAACCAATTCATTCACTCAGCATGTTTATAACTCAGTGAGTATTTATGAAACACCTATTAAGTGTTAAACGTTGTTGTAGGCATTGCATATGAACTGGGAATTATAAAACCACTGAACTTGAATTTCAAAGATTAAAATAAGACAATGCATATAAATGTTCTTTGTGAACTCTAAAGTTTGATTTAAAAGAAAGTTTAGAATGTAGTTTCCATATCTCTCAATTTCAAATTTGCTCTTTTAGTAACATTATTTTTTGAAGTAGGGTGCCTAATTTCTCACTAATATTGCTTTTCAGTAAACAAGAGGCAGAAAGTTGTACAGGCTTAGAACTGTAACAGATTCGTTTTGAAAAGAAATATACACTATGATATTAACATGAGTGTGGCCAAATTATTTAACTTCTTTGGGCTTCTGTTATAGAAATACTAATAGAGCAGAGGTACATGAGGATTTTTGAGAGGATGAAATAAGAAAATATTTGTAAAGCATTTTGCATTGCCATTTTAGCACTTGAAAAGCTCTCAATAATATCGGCTATTACCATTACCTTAAATTCTAATAACAAGCATTTTTTTCTCTATGAAACTCAGTAAAGCTACTAGAATTCTGAAAAAAGAGCTTATGAAATTTTTATTTTCCTTAAATTATTCCTTGTACAAAAATATTGTTTACTAATGATAAGCATCAGTATCACCCTGGAACTGTTACAAATACAGAATTTCCAAACCCTCCCTAGACTCACTGAATCAAGCTCCTCACGTTACTGAGATAAACACTGGCTTTGGAAAAACTTGAACTGGGTGGAGGGGTGCATGGTAGGCACTCCTCACTGATCAGATCCGTTTTCATTCCTATTCGTGCTTCAGGTTTGGCATTTTATGAATTTACTATAACATTTGACTTTTTAGTTTTCCTTAATTAATATCTAGAAAAACCAAAAAAAGCAAAGCCAAAGACGCATATCAGAGTCTAGAATGGGCTTTAAATTGTGCCCATTTCATTCAGTGTCAAGTTCCAGCCGCACCAGGCACATGTGTCCTTTTTCTTATCAGAACTATTTAGTCCACACAATAATTGTGTAAGGTAGGCATTATTGTCTTCATATGACAAGAAGTGAAACTGAGTCTTGGTGAGGTTCCAAATGCTTTAAAAGGATGCAGAGCCAATAGGTGGGAAAGGTAGATTCGAACCCAGGTTTGTCTATCTTCAAGTCAATTGGCCCCCTCGGCCCAATACATGAGTGTGTCATGACCTTGGTTATATTACACTTCTTCTCTGTAGATGATTAATCAAAGGAGTGGCTTTTTCTCTTTCACAACAGATTGGAAACACGGCATCTCCATCTGTCCAAGAGTTTTTATCCTGCTGCATTAGTTCCCTCTTCTTTTTTTTTTTATTATTGCATCTTAAAATGGTACACATTTTGCAATGGAGAACTGTTGAGCCAACATGTGGTTTCAATTGAAAAATTCTAATATATCATTATGAAAAAGGAAGAAAAAAGAAAACACAATCTAACCTTTGTACTTTTTCTAAGAAGTAAAAATGTGTTTTAATAAAAATGTATAAAGTGAAAGGTCTTGAGTTAAGTAGAGACACATTTATATTTGTTTATTTTTACCTTAACTGTTGATCATGCCTAACGGCCAGAGAGCTTTAGACACAGCTTTCATTCAGCTGGTTTTATGATTTCCCTGCAGTTTGAGGTACTATTTACAGAACTACAGACTACAGCTTACTGTGTCTACCTGTGGCCTCTGGTGGCTCAGGAGTTGCCAGCTTGAGTTAGACCTTTGTTTCAGAAAGATCGTAAGGACTTAGCACACCACTCCCATTTCACTGAAAGACAGATTCATATCCCTGGGTAGGTCTTGCCTCCGAAATGCTTGAGCTTGGCAATCATTGAATTTCAATGAAATTGTGGTAGCCACACCCAAACCAGTTCGGTAAAACCTGATGTAGTAAGTTGGAGGCAATAGTTGTGGTAGGTTATGCTAGAATTCTAACTCTTCAAGATTCTAACTCTAACCCTACATATGACTTCAATGATAATTAATGTCATAATTTGTGTAGGAATTATAGTACTTTTATGTATGCTATTGCATTTTATCTTCATAATGAATTTTTTGAGGTAGGTATTATCAGTATATTAATACACAGGTCTGGGAAATTCAGCTCATAAGAGTTGCGACTTGCCTTAGCAATAGTTGGTAATGGATGCTACAGACCATATGTGACACTCTGTTTTTATTTTGGAACTTTGCCTGGCTTTCGTGATGTCGGTGTCTCCTGGTTTTCTTCCAGCCATCACTCTCAGTGGCCTTCTCATATTCATTTTCTTCCTCTCTATGCATTGAGGTGCCTTGGGGCACACACAGAAGGTAGTTCTCAAGGCTGTTCAGTGTTAGGTAATAGTGATTGAAATGGTTCATTTTGTTAAAAACAAATCCAGTCTAGGCTGCGAGCTCCAAAGAAACAGCAACACAATTTTACCAGTGCTCAGCTGTGGAACTGCTTTGTGGAAGGGTGAGCTGGGGCTCTCCGCTGCGAGTCACAGCTTTGATTCAAAATGTTCAGAACTGACAATGATTCAGTTCACGGGAGCAAAGGAAGTTCACCATTGTTAACATCACATAATAAATATTTTCTGCAAAGAACCTGCTGATGAATAAAAAAATGAATAGCTACTTCTTACTAGCTTTGTGAATTTGTTCAACAGTGCCTTTTTCTGCTCTATTCATATTTTTACCATTCTTAGTTGTAATATATCCTGTTATATTACATTATGCTTTCTCAATTTTGAAATGATTCCTGCTTGTAGTTATTCCATATAGATCACTGAGGCTAACTCTTCAGTCACTTCAAACTTCATATTAACTCCTTGAAGAAACACCCCCCCTGAGGGTTATGGGTAACATCTGTCGACTCATTAAGTGCCATGAAAACTACTTAAGATCATTTTTATTTTTAATTGACTCTTGATGTTGCTCCCAATGTGCTCAACTCTTAACAATGGTTTTTGATGAAAGGCTGATAGTCTTAAGCAAGGTTTCTTAGCACACATTTCTTCGGCTGCTGCAACCAAAGATGATTTAGTTCATTCACTCTCAGTAACTTGGTTGCTTGGCTAACAAATAAGCCACTTGGAAATTTTCTTTGGTTGTAGCTTTACTTTTATTTGTGGGAAGAAATGCTGCTGGGATGAAACATTCAGTTTTAAATGTTCTAATGTTTATTGGACTGTTGCTTCCTGGGAATTGGGAATATTGTGCTAAGTGTCATGTGGTAATGTCATCGTAAATTGTACTCTAGCGCTATAGTGTCGTTGCACAACAAACACGGCGCCTTGCTCTTCAATTTGTTATTGATAACAAAATAATCCACACGCTCCTGTGTCTTATAAGCATGATATTCAGAGCTTATTTTTCTCTTTTCTCTTATTGACCTAAAAAAATCACAAAAATATCAACGTAGGACAAATGCGTGACGTTTGCCATGCTGTTAAGCAGCAACCGTGGCACTGTGATGTATAGTACACCAAGGAGGAGAGTGAAGAGATTAGTGCCACATACGGTTTCAGTCACAAATGCTCAACCCTGTTGTCTTAGAGCAAAAGCACCCACAGAAAGTGTGTGCGTGTGTGAGTGCAGCTGAGTGCCAATAATTCTGTTATTAACACTGAAATTTAAACTTCACATAATTTTCACATTTCGTATTCTCCTTTTTATTATTTTTAGCCATTTATAAATATAAAAACCATTCTTAGCTCATAGGCCATTACAAAACCAGGAGGCCAGCAGGATTTGGCTTCAACTCCATGGTTTAATAAGTTCTGATCTTGACTAGTGCAATGTCCGCAGCTGAATTATTGTTTGTACTTTCCAAAGCTGTTATTCTCCTTATCCTTT